AAAAAAAAAAGAAAACAATTTTGTAATTTTTTCGAAAATAGTTTTCCTACTAGCAACTATTTTATAATATTATTTAGAAATTTTAAAAGAAGTATTAATTTTGAAGTTTTTCTTGCTGGGTCGTAGAAAATTTATGTATGTTACACTGGAGGGAAATATTTTTTTCTCCCTCACTAATAGGAACTGCCTCATTTTCTTCTCTTGTAACACAAAGAAAAAATTCAAAAAGTCCACACATTTTGAAAAAAATATTTTTTTTCTAATTTAAGTGAATTTAAAATACTTTAACTTTAAAAAATCATTACTCAATAACTATTAGGCCGATTTCCTTCAAATGAAGACCATTCTAAAGGGATGGACTTGCCCTTTAGAATGATATAAAATTTGAAATTAAATATTGGCAAACTTTTCTTTGAACAGTGTTCGAAGAAGTTCGAAGTAAATCGAAGTAATCTAAGAAAAACCCTACGAGTAATTTTTTTGTTCTTTGTCACCATTGTGTAGAGCATCTTTTTATTAGTAAGAATCTAAATTTTCAAAAAAATATACCGAGTAGTTTTCAAGATCTGATTTTTTGAAGTTATGGTTTGCTAATCAAGCATTGCTCCATATAGGAGAAATGCATGTTAATCTTACTTAAAATTGCATTTTTATAAGTCTTTGTTTTAAGACTCTTCTTTTGCTTAAAAATGGTCAATTGCACCTTCTTTGTTCTAATTACAATAAACAAAAACTGTTTGTTTACTTAAAACAAATAAAGAGTTTTTTTGTTGTAAAAATGACCACTGATCATTGAGCAAAGAGGATCTAGAAGTTTAAGGAACGAGTCTTAAATATAAGGGCAAATCTTTTTCAAATCAAATCACTTTCCATTCAGATTTTGACTTGTTCACTTTGTTATAGCTTTTTGAACTTTTTATGAAAATGTTTTGAGCAAATGATTTCTCGAGTGTAGAATTTTTTTATCGAGAAACCACGAAATTGATTAAAATATTGTTTTTTACGAGATTTTACTAAACAGGATTGAAAATAACAATTTACTTTATAATTTTCTCAAAATTTCGTGAAAAACCTAAAATTCAATAAAATAGGCCAAAAAGTGTGTTGTTTTTGCCGTTTTCGAGTATTTAAGCAGGTTTTTCAAGTAAAAACAAAAATTGTTATTTAAACAGGCTAAAAAATTACAAAATTAAATAAAAACCAAATTATTTTTAGCTTGTTTCGCTTAACTTACTTCGTTTACTTTGCAAAATCTTATCTAAAAACGCTTAAAATTTGTTTGTTTCGCTCGGTTTACTAATAATAATTAGTAATAACTAATTTTTGTAAGTAAGTCGAGAAACCATCACAAAATTTGGTCGAAAATGCTTTCTAGCACATTTTTGTATTAAAAATTCAAGGTTTTTACGGGATTTTTGTAAAATAAAGCAAAAAAACAGCAAATGAACTAATGAAGTTTTAAATTATATTATTTTTTGTATTTCTCGAGCGTTTTAGCACGTTTTTCATCTAAAAACGCAATTATTTTGTTAAATTTCGTAAAAAACACGGAATTAGACCAAAAATGATGTCATTTTTGCCTTTTTAACTGACAATCTTGTTTCTTTTCACGAGATTTTGCCATATTGAGTCAAATATCACGATAATCTTGTAATCTAGTGAAAATATTTGGAAACTTTCTTGGTAAATTTTATTTTTTTGAGCTGACTCTGTTCATAACTTATAAGATGGCATTAATATCAATATTAAATTATATTTTTGCATCTTCTTCGAGCAGTTTTCTCACTTTTCAAGTAGAATTTTTTAACGAAAAACCACCAAGAGTCTTAAAACAAATACTTTTATAAAAATGCAATTTTAAGTAAGATTAACATGCATTTCTCTTATATTGATTAGCAAATCTTAACTTCAAAAAATCATATCTTGAAAACTACTCGGTATATTATTTAAAAAATTTGGATTCTTACTAATAAAAAGATGCTCTACACGATGGTTACGAAGAAAAAAATTACTCGTAGGGTTTTTCTTAGATTACTTCGATTTACTTCGAACTTCTTCGAACACTGATCGAAGAAAAGTTTGCCAATATTCAATTTCAAATTGCATATTATTTTAAAGGGCAAGTCCATCCCTTTAGAATGGTCTTTATTTGAAGGAAATAGGCCTAATATTTAAAGTATTTTAAATTCGAAAAAAATTATTTAGTTCAAAGTGTATGGACTTTTTGAATTTTTTATTTGTGTTACAAGAGAAGAAAATGAGGCATTTCCTATTAGTGAGGGAGAAAAAAATATTTCCCTCCAGTGTAACATACATAAATTTTCTACGACCCAGCAAGGAAAACTTCAAAATTAATACTTCTCTTAAAATTTCTAAATAAAATTATAAAATAGTTGCTAGTAGAAAAACTATTTTCGAAAAAATTACAAAATTGTTTTCTTTTTTTTCGAAAAAAAAATTGTCAAATTTGGTCAAAAATCATACTATTTTTTGAACTTTTTAGCTTTTTTTGAGATAAATCACGAAATTAAATCAAAAATGCAATTGTTTTGGAAAATTTTCTCCAAACCAGTCGAAAAATCAATGCTTTTTTAAAGCACATTTTTGAGCTAATAAACTGAGTTTTTTTGCTAAGAGACCAAATTAGGTCGAAAATGATAATATTTTTGCCGTTTCAATTATTTTTGAACATTCTTAGTAAAAAAGTTTGCTCAAAAAGACCCAAAAATTACCAAATTGTATCGAAAATTATGCTACTTTTGACATTTCTGAAAGTAAAAACAGGTTGTTGAGCTAAAAACTTCTTTTTTTTTGCAAAATTTTGCTAAAATAAGCCACAAAATCACTAAATTAGATTAAAATTACCGTTTTATTTTGATCTGTTTCTCTGGATTTAGTTTGGTGTTTCGAAAAAAATTATTCACAAAAACAGAAACACAGTTTTTGAATTAAAAGCTGTTTTTTTTTGAAAGATTTTTCAAACTTCTCCGAACACTGTTCGAAGAAAAGTTTGCCAATATTCAATTTCAAATTTTACATCATTCTAAAGCGCAAGTCCATCCCTTTAGAATGGTCTTTATTTGAAGGAAATCGACCTAATAGTTATTGAGTAATGATTTTTTAAAGTTAAGGTATTTTAAATTCATTTAAATTAGAAAAAAATTAATTAGTTCAAAGTGTGTGGACTTTTTGAATTTTTTTCTAGCGCATTTGATTTGTCTCACTGAGACGAACAAAATGATATAAAATTTGTCAAGTTGTCACGACATGACTTTTTTTGGTCGCCCTGTGTAATTGACAAGAATTGACCTTTTGGTAGGTTTCGCAGCTTAACAACGGCGTTTTATCGGGACGCCATGGGCTTTCTCCTGCTTTTTGATCTCACTAACGAACAGTCGTTCATTGAAATTCGCAATTGGGTGGAACAACTACGGGTAATAACACCAATTTCTGATTTTATTGTTTTTTTTGCACCAAAAATTGATACTTTGCCAGTGTTGCCAAGTCAAAAACATAAATTCACCACCAAAAATTCGACAAATTTTCACCAGATTACGATTCATATGGCAAAATCTCGTAAAAAACGCAATTTTTAGCTTTTAAAAATCTGTTTCAACTCTTAACTAAAAGCAAAAATGACATGCTGTGATTTTTCGGGTTATTTTCAACAAAATTTTGCGAAATAATTGAGTTTCTAGATGAAATACGTGCTAAAACTTCGAAGAATACAAAAATTATTTATTGTTTTAGTGAAATCTAACGAAATATTTGAGATTTTAGAACAAAAACGTGCATTTCGGCCAAATTTTGTGTTTTGTCGTCTTATTTTATCAATTCCGATTTAATTTTGTAATTTTTTAGCCTGTTTCAATGCAATATTTCGGACTTTTTGTGTTTTTATCTTTCAAAAAGTCAAAAAAACGCCATTTTTTTGGGCTATTTTGTTGAATTTGCAAAAGCATCCGAAAATAACAAAAATAAGTTGTCATTTTTGACTCTGTTCAGTAATATCTTGTAAAAAACAAATAGAACTATTTTTAAACAATTTGGCGGTTTTCGATTTTTTCTTCGAGAAAATTTGACAAAACAATCAAGTTAAAGCGTAAAAATATCATAAAATAATCTTTTTTTTAACAATTTAGTGATTTTTGACACGCTGTGGCAAACTCTCGCGAGTAAACAGAATTTTCAGTTTGAAAATCTGCTTGAACTTTCGAAAAAGAAAAAAAATATATCATTTTCGGCTTAATTCTGTGTTTTTTGGGTTGTTTTTAACAAAATTTTGCAAAATAATGACATTTTTAGCTGAAAAACTTGCTAAAACGTTCAAAAATTATAAAAATAATGTAATTGTAGACTTAATTTCTTGATTATTTAGTTTGTTTTAGCAAAGTCTAACGAAAAACCTGAGATTTTAGTACAAAAACGTGCATTTTTTGGGCCAACTTTTGTGTTTTCTCGTCTTATTTTTGTCTGATTTTGCTCAAAAAAACAGATAAATCAAATGAAACGGAAATAACAACAAATCAATTTTTTTTGTAGTTTTTAGGTGTGTTTGGACAAGATTTTGCAAAATAAATAAACTTCTGATTCAAAAATGAAGTAAAGCTAAGAAATGATATCAATATCGACTTAATTTTGTAATTTTTTAGCCTGTTTCAATGCAATATGTCAAACTTTTTGTGTTTTCTTCTCTCAAAAAAACAAAAAACGCCGTTTTTGGTTGAATTTGTGTCTTGTTTTTGACAAAATTTTGAAAAGCATTCGAAAAACAAAAATAAGTTGTCAATTTCGATTCTGTTTAGTAATCTTGTAAAAAACAAATAGAACTATTTTTAGGCAATTTAGTGTTTTCGATTATTTTTTTTCTTCGAGAAAATTTAACGAAATAATCAAGTTAAAGCCTAAGAGTTTTTTTCTCGCGAAAAACAGAATTTTCAGCTCAAAAATCTGCTTGAATTGTCAAAAAAGAAAAAAATTATATCATTTTCGTCCTAATTCTGTTTTTTTTGGGCTTGTTTTTTAAAAAAAAAATTGCAAAAAAATTGCGTTTCTACCTGAAAAACGTGCTAAAACCCTCAATATTTTTTTTTGCTTCAACGAAATTGTTAAAATTTTTTGTTTTTATTTCAAAAACGTGGTTAAACACTTAAAAAGCGCAAAAATAACACCGTTTTTGGTCGAATTTGTTGAATTTTTGGCTTGTTTTTACGAAATTTTACGAAATAATTGTGTTTCTAGCTGAAAAAGTATCAGAAGAAGACAAAAATAAATTGTTATTTTTGATCCTGTCCAGTAAAATCTTGTAAAAAAACAAACAGAACTATTTTTAACCAATTTGGTGGTTTTTCAAGTTTTTTTGAAAAAATTTGACGAAAGAACCAAGTTTCTGGTTAAAAACGTGGATAATGCTCAAATAATAGTTTTTTTCATTTCCAAAAAATTACTAGATTATCAAAGTTTTCATTAAAAAATTATACAAAAACGCCTAATATTGCTTTGTGGCTTTGCCACACGCACAATATTTTTTTTAGTATTTTGTATCCGTTTTCTTACTGCTTTTGTTTTTTTTTTTTTCGTTATTTATTCAAATAATATTTTTTCAAATAATAATTAAAAATAGTTCTCTTCAGAACAGAATATCTTTTTGTTGTTCCTGTTTTAGGTAATGGAATCAAATATACCAATTTGAATAAAACCAAATTATTTTCTCCAAAGTAAATAGTGTGTTTTTGGTGTTAAACTTTTGATGGAAAAAACGCTCTCTGAAAACCTCTAAAAGAGGTTAACCTCACTTTTTTAGTGACAAATTTAGTTCCTTAATATGTAAAGCCCCTTTCACATTTAAAGCACAGTTTACACAATCATGGATGGATTTTTTACCAACCTGACAAAAAAAAATTTTTAGTGTGATAAATTGGCTATTTTTTAGCTTCACGCGTATTGTGATTGCCCCGACGTGGTCCTTTGTGGCAATAAGGCCGACTTGGAGGACCGCCGAATCATAACGGAATGGCGGGCGCGCGAAATGGCGGAAAAGCTTGGGTAAACCCCCGACTGTGTCAAAAAAAATTCTCTAATGCTCGATTTCAGACTAGTTTATTTGGAAACTAGCGCCGCAACTGGTCAAAACGTGTCAAGAGCCGTCGAGACGCTCCTGGAAAAAGTCATGATTCGTATGGAGACGGCCGTCGATCGGGCCATGCTTCCAGGGCGTCGGGGGCGTCCCCGGGACCCCAACGACGTCGATTTCAACGCGCCCCCGACCCACAATTGCACCTGTTAATGTGCTACAACCGATTCAGTATTGTCGTTACTCCCTGAAGCCTATCGTTAATCACAAAGCCTATAATAATGTTATCGATGAGGATTAATTTTATGTAGCTTTTTACCAAATAAATGGGTATTTTTGATTCATGGCCCGGTTTAATTTCCCCAATCCGGACCTGGCGATTAATCGAGTTAGTCATTATTAGACATCGCACTTCTAAGACCGATTTTCACTAAATGTTTGGGCAGCGAACATTGAAGATCGCCAAATTGGACCCCAAATATAGAGTAAGAGTACAACGAATGACCACATTTCGAGCAATTTTTTATAATAGCAAGTATTGACCCACTAACATTGACACTGATCTACCCTAATGTAGCTATATTTTTTTTGTCTTTACGCTATTTACGTTCCAAAGTTTTTTCTTATGAATGATTGTAAACATCTTATTAAGACATAGGCGGGGACGGGTGTTCAGTCTCAAATTATTTTTAATTTTAACTCAGAAATGACGTGCTTTCGACAAAAGTTGGAATAAAGCAAGTTGTTTCTTTTGACGAGTCCTATTAGTGGTTAAAATATTTGCTCGCAATCCCCAAACACCCTGTATAATGCTTGCAAGGAACATCTGTTTGCATTTATTTCTTATCAAAAATAATTGTCAAGAAAATTCGTAAAATAAATTTAAAAAAATCCCCCAAACTTATGCAACTACAAATTCAATCATGTGTATATGTATGCCGACTATTACCAACCTTAACAAATTACAATGAAGCGCGCAAATTTAAATCGGTAAACTTTGAATATGAATATCTCGAAAAGTAGGCGTGGCACGTAAAAATAATGTATGTTACAAAAGATGCGCAATAAAAAGTTACATCGAATGGTTTAGTCAAATTTGACTTTGGCGATGGTCATTTTCGTATCTCGCTTAGGAAAAACAAAATACCTACCTTATTTTATATTTTTAAAATCTATGCGTTTTTCTGAGATGTATGAGGGGTGACACGATGGGGTTATCTTTAGTTTGAAAAACCCACCCCTAAATTTTTTTTTGTARAATGCAACTTGTTTTACGTCGTAGGGTAGGGTTATGAATGAAGATGAGAATCCCATAATTTGAAATTTTTTTATTGAATTAAAATCGAGATTTTGAATTACTTTATGTCAGAACAATTTTTTTTTTTGGTGTTTAGTGTTCACTATTTGACTATCGTGATTTTTCACAATCTTGTCAATTAAAATTATAGGCTTAGAACAACTTTTAAGATTCTAAAAATTGCGAAATTTGTGGAATTTTGGCCCGACCAAAAACTACTAGCAAGTGTTAATTTTGATTCTAAATAGAACCATAAGGGTCCCAAAGCTCGATCAAAAAAAAAAAAAAAAAAAACGGGGAATTTTACGTCTAGAAAACCATATTTCGAGCGTTTTTACGACTTAAGGTAAATTGACTATTTTTACGATTTTACTACCTTGAAAAATTCAAAAAATTCCAAATTTTTGAAACTTGACCCAATAACATTTTATGCACTTATTTGAGTCTTTAAGACCTCTAGAAATGTAAAAAATGTTAAATGGATCAATTTTAGTGTTGAAAATTTTTTGGATTTTTGTCGAGATTTTGGTCGATTTTTGCCACCCGGAAGGGTCTAATGGCAATAACTCCGGACTTATTGGAGATAACCTCTTATATTTGGCATCGTTGGAAAGAAAATTTAATTTTCTATCACATAAAAAAAAGATCAGTGTTCTACGATAAATAGTTATCGAGAAAATTTGTGATAAATTCAAAAGTATGGAAAATATAAATCCGACTATAACTTTAAAACTGTTAGGAATTTTGCAGTTTTTTTGACGGCAATCGATTCCCCGGAACATTTTACATAGGTTTAGGTCAAAGTATTATATCATTGAGGCACAGTTTTGCCGCAATTTACAAAACAAAAAAAAGTAAAAATTTGTTAACACATAATGTTATCGATGAGGATTAATTTTATGTAGCTTTTTACCAAATAAATGGGTATTTTTGATTCAAGGCCCGGTTCAATTTCCCCAATCCGGATCTGTCTTATCGCACGATCGAGTTGGTGTTGTCGATGTCAAATGAGAGGTTATGTTTGATGTTTTTGAATAAAAATGTGTGAAAAGATTAAAAAAAAACTACACACACTTATCTAACGATGAGGATTAATTTTACGTAGTTTTTTCCCAAATAAGTGAGTACTTTTGATTTAATTAATTTTAATTTCCCCCCTCCAGCTCTGGTTTATCGCTTGATCGAGTTGGCGTTCGGAGTAAAATGTGAGGTTATGGTTCAATGTTTGTTTTTTATTTAAAAAAAAATGTGTTACGGGCCTTTTGCTCGCATTTGCCATTGGGGCCCCTTGACTGCTTTAGGTAAGTTGCACAAAACTGTGACTTTTTTAATTTCTTTTCCAGGAATTATCAAATTGGTGACTGGGATGACGATACATTGCAGTGGGATGTGGTGGCCCCCTGCCCGGTCTCTGGGGGGTTTCCTCAATAGTCTCGTTTTTATCAGCTGTTCGGGCTTCACATTGTACAATTTTTTATCCTCGATGTACCACGGACCGGGTTATTTACCCCAAAATTGGAAACCTGTGAGTGAAGCCCCACAATTTCGCCACTTAACTTGTTTATTTTGCAGGTGAACGAAGGCGATTGCGAGTACTTGCAGTGGTGTGGGGTTTGCCAGGGGTACAAGGCCCCCCGATCGCACCATTGTCGCAAATGTATGATGTTGAAATTCCCCAAAAAAATTACTAAACTTGTGATTCAGGCGGCCGTTGCGTTTTAAAAATGGACCATCACTGCCCGTGGATTAATAACTGTGTGGGATGGGGGAACCACGCACATTTTGCCTCATTCCTGGCTTTTGCCACCTTGGGGTGTCTTCACGCGTCGATTATTCTCGGATGTTCACTTTTTCGAGCCTTAAATCGCGTTCATTACTTGTATTACGGTTCAGGGAAAGAACCGATTGTTCATTTAGGATTATATGGAATCATCCTGTGTGTCCTTGCGTTGGGGTTCACTATCGGTGTCGTAATTGCAGTAGGAATGCTTCTCTTCTTCCAAATAAGGGCTATTTTACGTAATAGAACAGGAATAGAAGACTGGATAATGGAAAAAGCCAACTATCGGCGAAAAAGTCGCAATGAAAAGTTTATTTTTCCCTATGATTTAGGAGTGTGGCAAAATATACGACAAGTGGTCAATTTTAGTTGCCAACCAATCGGCGATGGGATTTTCTGGCCTGTCGTCGACTCCTGCGACCAATTCACTCTAACAGTAACTGTCTTTTTATTTTTAATATTTTATTATTTTAATATTCAAACAAATTCCGTATTTATAGTTGGAAGTTTTTTTGCACAAAAAAGGGATAACTTTGTGCACAAAAAATCATCATCAGTCATTTTCGGACTCAATAAAACGGCTAAAATGAATGTTTTACGTACTATTTTATTGAATCCGACTTAAATAAATCCGTAAAGTGGCTATTTTTGGGAGCATATACAAAAAACTTCAATTATTAAATCGTATCAAATTTTAATTTTTTTTTTAACTAATTCTTTCAACTAGAAAACCATTTTTCATAGAAGGTTTTAACATACGAAATAGTAATTCTTATGCGGTTTTAGGTGTAGAAAACCAAGTTTCAGATTAATTGCAACAAAAAAAGGATATAGGAATAAGAAAAACGTCGGGTTTTTTTTTCAAAACTAATTCTTTCATTTAAAAAAACTATCCCACATTAAAAATAATAACAAATTGTGACTTTTTGATGAATTTGCATTTTTAACATACGAAATCTTAATTTTCAAGCGATTTTACGTCTAGACAACCCATTGGGACCTTTAGAAATGTGAAAAATTTTTTGAATCGTATCAAATTTTTTCTTTTTTTTTCCAATTAAGTAAGAACAGTCCTAGATAAGAAATAATAACGGATTGTGACTTTCCGGATGAATTTGCATAAAAAATCGTTGATTTCCGAAAAATTTCGATTCAAATAATTATTTGAGCAGAAATTTTTATAATTATAAGTAGTTGAAATCAAGCAAATGTCGTCTAATAACTCGAAAACACGTTTTTATAAAAAAAAATTAACACAGGAAAATACGATTTTACGTCTAGAAAATCCAGTTTCGAACTTATTGGGACAAAAAAAAAGACTTCACTGTAACAGTAACTGTCTTTTTTATTCTTTTTTTTTTAATATTCAGGGTGTTCGCGGATTACGAGCAAAAATTGAATTCGTTGTTAGAACCAAACAATTTTCGTATCCATTTTTTTCAAAGTTGAAAATTTTTATGCACAAAAAATAACTTTGTGCACAAAAAATCATCAGTCAGTTGTAATCGCGTTTTCAGGTGAATTGTGCACATCGATTTGAAATAAAATTGTAAATCAAGTCCTTTTGGACAACTACTCAAATGCTTTTTTATAAATGAATGTAAATATCGTATTAAGGCTTTTTAAAATGATTCATAAAATAGTTAAAATGACAATTATTGAATCTGACTTAAATGAGTCCGTGAAGTGGCTATTTTTGGGAGCATATACAAAAAAGTTCAATTATTGAATTGTATCAATTTTTTTATTTTTTTTTAACTAATTCCTTCAACTAGAAAACCACTTTTTATAGAAGATTTTAACACACGAAATAGTAATTCTTATGCGATTTTAGGTGTAGAAAACCCAGTTTCAGATTTATTGCTATAAAAAATTACTTAGGGCCAGTTTCATAATCGAACTTAAAGGAGCTTTTAATTAAATGTCGTTTAGAATGTGCTGATTACTCCAGACTTGTTGACAAAAATGTCACATTCTAAACCAACATCGGCTTTAAAGTCCCTTTAATTTGATTATGAAACTGGCCCTTAGTAATTAGAAAAACGTTTTTTTTCCAAAACTAATTCTTTCAATTAGAAAAACCATCCTAGATTAAAAATAATAACGAATTGTGACTTTCTCAATTAATTTTCATTTTTAACATACGAAATCTTAATTCTCAAGCGATTTTACGTCTAGAAAACTCATTTTGGGAGCTTTAGAAATGTGAAAAAATTATTGAATGGTATCGAATTTTTTTTCAAAATTAATTCTTTCAATTAAATAAGAACTATCCTAGATAAGAAATAATAACGGATTGTGATTTTCCGGATGAATTTGCATAAAAAATCGTTGATCTCCGAAAATTTCGAGTAGAATTTTTTATAATTATAAGTAATTGTAAATCAAGCAAATATCGTCGCGGATTACTAGCAAAAATTTAATTTGTTGTGAGACGACAATTTGAAACCAAATTCCGTATCCAAATTTTTTTTTGAAAGTTGAAAGTTTTTATGCACAAAAAAGGGATAAGTTTGTGCACAAATTTTAATTTTAACTCAGGAATGACGTGTTTTCGGCAAAAGTTCTCTTGACGAGTTCTATTAGTGGTAATTGGCGAACACCCTGTATGATTTGGAATATTTTCAGAGGGAGCAAATTGAACAAAAAACCGAAAAAAGACAAAGAACCAAACTTTACAAAATCATACACCCGGCATCAGGTTCATGGGTCCCCATAACCCAAGGACTCAAAGTTTGTTGTTGTCCCCCGTGCACCGACGAAGCGAGAATCAAACTCGAGCTCGGAGACACAGTCTCTGTGACCAGATGGCGAAAGTAAGTTTAAAAAAAAATCAAAAGTCAAGCAATTTTTTGCTCGTATTTTGTTAGGTATTGGTTGTTTGGAGAAAAAATTCAAGATTTGCCTCAGGATGAAGAGTCACTGTGTAGGATACGGGGCTGGTTCCCGCGACGGTGTGCAGTTGAGGTGATCGATGGTAGCGAACAAAGCGTAAAAGATAAAAAAATTAAATAAGTTTAAAAAATATCAAGTTTTCTAGTCAGAATCGTACAGTGCGATCAAAAAGTCTGTATCAAGCAAGCGTAGAAATTTAAAACGTATTATCGTATCAACAAGAAATTACTCCCTAGGATTTAGGGATATTCGTGAATAGGTTGCCACAAATTTGGTTAAAAAAAAGATATCGTAACTAGTGTCAAAAATTTAGGTTAAGTCACCTGTCAGCTTGTTTATAGATAACTCAATTAATAGTTGACAGAAAACGTCAACCGTCAACAAGGGGTAACCAACCCTAGGCATTCAAAATTAATTTTGAAAAATCTAGTTACAAACAACATAAAAAACGTAAATTTCCTAAAAATTCAAATCCTAGGTGGTAATTTCTTGTTGACAAATCTGTATGTCTGTGGAAGATAAAATGTCACAATGACAAATGAGAAATGTCAAAATCTCATTTTAGGATATTTTGAGACGTTTCATTTAATTAGCTTAATGTTTTAATTTTTATAAAATCTAGATAACATACGTCCTAGGACGCTTACTTGATAGAAAGACTTTTTTATCCGATTGGGGAAAAATTTTCATTGTTGCCAACTTAATTTTATTGATAAAGTGCTTTCACTGATACAAAACTACAAAAGCGTAATAAATTAGTAAAAATTGAAATGCACTGTGGTGTGTTCAATATTCGTCGCCTTCGTCCCCTTCCCCTTCAATGGAATCGACAGCAACCTCCTCGTAGTCCTTCTCAAGGGCGGCTAAATCCTCCCTAGCTTCGGAAAACTCGCCCTCTTCCATCCCTTCCCCGACATACCAATGCACGAAAGCCCTTTTCGCGTACATCAAATCGAATTTATGGTCCAACCTAGCCCAGGCTTCAGCAATGGCCGTGGTATTGGAGAGCATACAAACCGCCCTTTGAACCTTGGCTAAATCGCCCCCAGGGACCACAGTCGGGGGTTGGTAATTGATCCCGACTTTGAACCCAGTGGGGCACCAATCGACGAACTGAATGGTTCGTTTGGTCTTAATGGTGGCAATGGCCGCATTGACGTCTTTGGGGACCACATCCCCCCGATACAACATGCAACAAGCCATGTATTTGCCATGTCGGGGGTCACACTTGACCATCTGATTGGCGGGTTCAAAACACGCATTGGTGATCTCAGAAACGGTTAATTGCTCATGGTAGGCCTTCTCAGCGGAGATGACAGGGGCGTAGGTGGCGAGGGGGAAGTGGATTCGGGGGTAAGGCACTAGGTTGGTCTGGAATTCGGTCAAGTCGACGTTGAGAGCGCCGTCGAAACGAAGCGAGGCGGTGATTGACGAAACGATTTGGCCTATTAGGCGGTTCAGGTTGGTGTAGGTTGGACGTTCGATGTCTAGGTTGCGACGGCAAATGTCATAAATGGCCTCATTGTCGACCATAAAGGCACAATCGGAGTGTTCCAAGGTGGTGTGAGTGGTCAAAATCGAATTGTAAGGTTCAACCACAGCGGTGGAGACCTGGGGGGCGGGGTAGATCGAAAATTCGAGCTTCGATTTTTTGCCATAGTCAACTGAGAGGCGTTCCATTAGCAAAGAGGTGAAACCTGAACCGGTGCCCCCGCCAAATGAGTGGAAAACGAGAAAACCCTAATTGGAAAAAATAATATACAGGGTGTACCCGACCCCCGTATTTCTTCGATTAATCTGACAGTAGAGAAGATAACGAAATGCGGTTTCTTTTGGACGATTGACATTCATTTTTTCTATGGTCCAAAAATATTTTCGTCATTATAGGTAATTCCCATACAGGGTGGCGCAACAAAGTTATATTTTTTTCTTATGGAACACCCGGTATATTATGTGCTTATTTGAAAGAGTTTTTGATTCTAAGAATGTCCATATTAGGTTTAATGAGTCTATCATGGACTGTTTATCATTTATGGGCAATTTTATAAAAGAAAAGTACCATTTTTGCAAAATCACAACGGCTTGACTAGAAAGAAAAAATGAATAAAAACAATTGCCACCACTTTTACTGAGTCTGGTCCTAAATTATTATGGTAGAAATTCGATCAACAAAAAAGGACATAGGAATAAGAAAAACATTTTTTTTTCTTTTTTTTTTCAAAACTAATTCTTTCATAAAAAAAATATTCTACGACTTTCTATCACTTTTCAATGAATTTGCATTTTTAACGTACGAAATCTTAATTTTACGTCTAGAAAACCCATTAGGACCTTTAGAAATGTGAAAAAATTATTGAATCGTATCACATTTTTTTCTTTTTTTTTTCAAAATTAATTCTTTCAATTGAGTAAGAACTGTTCTAGATTAGAAATTATTTCTGGTCCTAAA